AGATTTAATATAGTTTGACGCTACCATAATTCTATTCTTTTTTGAGACAGAGGAAAGTACGTTTGTGAAGGGTAGGGCATGCAACCTACCTACTCATCTCATTAGTTGGGCAGTAGCACTGCTGGATCCCGTGCCAAGTGGGCATGCAGCAGCGAAGAAATAATCGAACTGCAGCCAACAAGACATGAAAACAAAAGGAGAAAAAACACAAGGATCAGGGCTAAAACGCAAGCATCCAAACTGTCTCAGCACTTCTGCTCTAGTACCAGCAAGTTTCTACTGGCGAAACACAGCGATACATCGATGATGTTCCTGCTGTTTGCATCATATAAGCACAGATCGATTACATACAGATTCGACAGTGATTGACACAGCATCATATGACTGACTCATCTCATCACACCCTCCTTGACAAGTCGATCGAGTTCGCTCATCAGGGACGAATCAAAACACAACAACAACAAAGCTGCACAGCGAGTTGGATTGTTTTAGACTGCTAGCTCTAGGTCCACACAAGCTAATAAGACGACGACCATTATTCGACGGTCACACACAAATAGCTGCAGAACATTTGATGCCATTCATCGGCCATTTGCATGCATCGACGACGAGGACTCGCGGTTCTGCTTGATGATGGATCGTTGGCTCTATGTATGTGGTGTCCCTCAATCCATGTATATCACTAATTATATCACTGGCGCAACACATAAGATTCTGTCCTGGATCCATGCATGTGCCACTAATTATCACTGGTGCAACATAAGATTCCGATGCCACTACCCCATCTGTCCTAAAAATAATGCAATTCTAAAGCAATGCTCAACCAAACTTTCTTAAATTTAACTAAATTTAAATATAAAAAAATGTTAATGCTTATTTTATACTAAATAAGTATCAGTACATCTGTCATGGAATATATTTTCATGACATACATATTGGGTCTTAAATATTGATAGTATTTTGTACAAACTCGATAAAACTTAAGTTAGCTTGACTTTTTTTTTTTTTGAAGCGAGGTAATAGTACATGCAGGTAGGTACGTAAGTTGCAGAGAATGTGCACCTACATAGCCGTACGTGTGTACAATTATATTATACACTAGTTACTGTTGCACGTGTGGCACCGGACTCCGCCAAGCCACCCCTGCCGTGTGCCGTCTGCCGTCTGAATGGCTGATTGATCGATGGGCAAGCAACAGGCATGCATGGAATATAATCAGTGCAAATGCATGCTCTGCATGCAACTGTGACGACAAAGGAATGGATGTACTGCATGCTGCCATGGAATGGAATCCGAGGCGGATCGGATCAGGCGGAGGCGGGGGAGAGGCCGGGAAGGGAACCCCGGGGTGCATGATGCATGCATGGTACTATAGGAGCCGTGCATGGGTAGCTAGGGTTTAACTCTCGTTTCCTCAGCTGTACCGGCCTCTGTCCGGTGAACCTTGGACATTCCCCCCTTTGCCATGTTACGCTAATAAATAGATTCTTGCAGAGATCAGCGATGTGGATAGATGTGTCCTCGATCGATCTGTTTTTACTAATTTTTTCGCGATGGGGTTCAATTGGTGCCTAATAATAATATTATTTCCTCCTCGCGCGAAATTAATGGACGGTTCGATTCTACCGTACCCTTGCATTGCCGTACGTAGCTAGCTAGTTTTGTGGGGACGTCGACGTCGTGTCCTCTGGCCGGCCACCTGATCGCAGCAGAACGACCCGATGGACACGCATTTGATCTGCACCATGCATGATCGATGATTGTTACGTTCACAGATCCAAGAACAACGGCGTACATGCATGCATGTGCGTAAGGGGAGGAGCTACGCTGTAGTAGCACCCGCAACCGCGCGTGCCCGACAAATACGACACCAGAGAAACGGTACTGCTTGCCGGGCGACGTCACAAAGCCCCGCCCCGGCCTTCATCGATAAGGGTTCGGTTAGCCTAGAATGAGCCCAGGATCCATTCTAGCTTGATCAAGTTTATACAAATTAGCAAACTATTCTAATTGAAAACCTTTTCAGAAAAATATATATCCTGAGGGAACCGAACGAGGCCTAAAAGGGTGGACCAGCCGGGCATCTTTGGGCAAAAAGTTGGAAACGACTACACTGAGAGCCTCTCCCATTGAGCTAGCATGCAAGGGGATAAGACATGCACGGCGGAAGAGAGCTGTGCGAGCCTATAGACCATTATGTGCAGAAGCAATGAGCTTCTTCGCAGCTAATGGTTGGTTGTTTACTTTTCATACTAGACTAGATTGTTAGGAAGGATATGCTGCCAGTTCGGCCTGAGTTGTCACACAGAGGAAGATCAAGGTCAAGCCAATGATACAAAGAGTCTGGAAAGCCAAGGGGGAGATAGATGGAGGATTATTGAGAAACCAAACACATAGGCTCCCTCCTCTGGAATCCTCCTCCTCATTTACTGTTGTTCTTCCTCGTCCTATAGATCTTCATACTCCACTAGCAACTCATCTGATCCTCAATGCTTCTCTTCTAATATCGGCTACCATGATGTTAACATGGACTTTAGTTATGTGCTTGTAATAAGTTAAACTTTGAGGTGTGCGAGTTTTGTAATATGTTTGGTCTGATGCTTCTTCTGTGAAGCCATAACTCCTTTCATTATCTACGATGAATAAATTAAAATAAAGTATAAAAAAGCTTATGCCTATTGCCCACCCTTTGCTACCCTCGTCTACGGACCCAATTGCCTACTTCCGCCAAGCCATCCACGCCCGTTCAGTGTCACCATCACCATTGATCCGGTAGCCTCCCTCCACCTTTCATTCGACTCAGCAGCTACAAAAACCTTTCCTCGCTCTAACCCAAAACCTCGAAACTTAACCCTAAGCCAGTACCTGTACTTGTACCTAAACTCAAAGTCCACGACTCAACGGGAAAGGAGATGCTGTGTGAGGTCATCGGAGGAGAAGACGATCTTGCTGCGTTAGTCCATCAGATTTTGTTTGCTTACTACCAAACATGACAGTGTGTTGCAGCGGGATGCAAACTTTGTTCTCGGTGCTTGTGCCAATAATAATGAGCTGCTATCTCTATTTTTGTAAATATAATTGGACTTGGTCAAATCTTAAATCAAATAAATTTCAAGGTGCAATAAAAGATTAATCCAGCACAGGGAATTGATAGGAGAGTTGAATCAACTTAAATATGGCTATTGTATGCACCCGTTATATGAGTATAATATAAGAAAAGTGGAAGGTGAGCCACACGCCCACATATGTGCCACTATGCGCATGGACTCAAGTGGCTGGGCCAAGAGCAAGAGATGAGTGGTGCTACACTAACAAATGTTTTGCAACTTCAAACTCAAAGCGAAAAGAGTGAGGGACAAGAGACCGAGGAAGGAAAGAGGAGTGAAATTTAAGTACTATGCCCTAACTGTGTTTGGTAGTAAGCAACTAGCTAGTAAACCTTCTCAAGATCAGACATGCCCTAACCGCATACTATGCACGATCAAGATCGAAGTAAAACGACCGATGAAACATAATCCATCGTTTAAAGTAAGAACCATTACAATATAACAAAATAAACGATGGACTAAAAGGATGTGAGGTCGATCTTGATTGGGCAGGTTGATATTGCTAAAAACTAATGACAATTAGAACATCAGCAAGATCGGTAACTTAATGAATCTACCCGAAGGATGCCACCCTTAGGTAGAGCCGATAACTTGACCTTAATCTAATTCGAGCAGTGGAGGTCGAACTTAACCGATGCAGCCGTACTTGAACCAGATAAGAGTCAATAACTAGCTTATACTAGAGCCCACAAGAGGTCGGCCGGACCGATGCAGCCTTACAAACAGAAGTATAAGCCATGACGGTGCTTACAGACAAGCCGGAGGTCAGCCGGACCGATGCAGCCCTGCTTGTTGAAGAACTCGCCGAGATCTACACTACTCCTACTCCTAAGGGTTGGCGTAAAGCCAAAAAAAGTAATTGGTATTGATTGATTGGATGTCTTTTTACAATAATAGCCAGGGTCCAATATTTATACCCGGAACCTAAGCATGAATCCTATTCAAGTACGACTCATTACAATCTTTGGTATAAGAGAAAACATTCTTAACTTAAGATAACTTAGACCCTAATCTTTTTCTTTTTTTTAGAGTCCGACATGTCTTTCCCGACGCCAACCGTAGCTTATTGATGTTATCTGCTGACGTCATCCGAAGAGAGCCAATCCCAGTGCCGTATCTGAACCAGCTGATATCCATCCTTATGCAATCGATTCCTTGATGACATAATTTTGGAAGCTTCGAGTCCCTGCGTTCTTCTCCCCAAATTTTGATATAAACAGTAAGGTACATATGGGTCAGAGGGAGAGTGTGAAAAGAGTAAAAAACTTTCGTAGTTTAACATTATTTATTAGATACAAATATACTAATTCTCCTTCCAGCATCATCCTAGCTATAGTTTGTTCATTTTTTTTATTCCAGACAACAATTTACTTCCAAATCTAGGTGTCCTCTTAACTCGATTTAGCTTTTACCTAAAAAAAAGTTTAGTTTTTTTCATATAACTTTTGCCCACCTTAAAAAACTACTACTACCTCCGGCCCAGAAATAATGTCGTTGAAGGCAGGGCCACGACAACCAATGAGAAAGTAAAAAGACCATAATATCCCTACAATCTCTCTCTCTCTCTCCCGCTCGCCTCCAGATCCCCGCAGTCGCTGCAGCGCCCGCCAAGACAAGCCCGCGCTCGCCGCCGGTCTGCTTCACGTCGAGTGGGAGGCCGCGGTCCGCCGCTGGTCTGCTCCGCATCGAATGGGAGGCCACGGCCCGCCGCCAGTCTGCTTCGCGTCGAGCGCCGCAAGGGAGGCCGCGGCCTGCCACCGGCCCGAATCGAGTGCTGCAAGGGAGCCCGCTCCATCCCGATCTCTCTGACGACGCAAGCAAAGGGGAGACCACTGGTGGGGGTGGGAGGTGCAGAGGAGGCAGGCCGGGGCCCCTTGGCGTCGATCGCCATGGATGGGGCCAGTGGATCTCGGCCACGAAGCCATGCAGCGTCCTCTCCATGCCGATGAAGGAGAAGGGGGAGGTGGCACCGACGAAGGAAGAAAGATCGAGGAGGCGGCGTTGGTGGAGGAGCAGAGAATCTCGGGGGGCCAGATCTTGGCCTCCAAGCTGGCGAAGGGGAAGAGAGGGGCCGGTAGAGAAGAGGAGGGGGTGCTGGCTGGGTCTCGGCCGCCTGTAGCTGGATCTCGGCCGCCTGTAGCCTCGCCGGCGGAGGAGAAAGCGGTTGGCGCCGGTGCAGGAGAAGTGGTGGGCGGCTCTGGTGGAGTTAAGGAGAGAGAGGATGCCAAGATGAGAATGGGAGGAAGGGGCGAGCGGATGGGCCAGCCTAGCCTAGTGGGTGGGGTTGTCAGTAGTATGCAGAGCTAGAACGACACTCTCTAAGTACTACAAAGACACTCTTTGTGGGAGTGAGGGTGTACATGGCATGCAGCTTCTGCATCATCCCATGGGGAAAAAAATCCAGTTAGGGCGCGTTTAGATGCAAAAAAAAATTTTGGTTTTGTCTACGATAGCACTTTCGTTTGTATTTGGTAATTAGTGTCTAATTATGGATTAATTAGGTTTGAAAGTTTCGTCTCGTGATTTCTCACCCAACTGTGCAATTAGTTTTTTTTTTCATCTTCATTTAATACTTTATACATGTGCCGCAAGATTCGATGTGATGGATACTGAAAAAAAAATTTTTGGAACTAAACGTGCCCTTAGTTTCACTGTCGGCTGTAGTTTCGCGTCTGCCAGACGCTCACTACACCCAAACGTGACAGGCCACTAAATTCCGAGTTCGTACAGTACGTATAGTACCAGCGTATGGTACAAGCAGAGCAGGTACATGCAGGTGCAGTGCAGCAGTCAAGTGCACCCAACACACACTGCACGCCTGCAGCCTGCAGCAGGTATGATACGGTACGTGCTACCACAGATTTGCATTGCGTGCAGACGAAAAATCTCAAAATGCTCGGTCGCACGTTCGGATTACATATATTTCAGCAGGATATGATCCCATAGCTTTGGCAGCTTGCACAGCTGGACAGACACCGCGACGAGATCGATCGGGTGATGCCTCGGCGTTCGTACGTACCCGTCCATCGGAAAGATTCATTTGCAAGAGGATCCATCGGAGCTAGCAAAGCGGAGTAGCTCCCTAGTACAAGCTCGCAGGACGCATGCAGCGTCTCGTGTCTACCGCGTGCCGCCGTCCGGCCGCGACGTCGCTGTGGCGTGCTTCGAGGCCGGTGCCGCCGCTTGCCGGCGCCGCCTCGGTGGGGCCTCCTCCGCCGGCAGTGCGACGGTGTGGTTGGTGGCCGACGCGGTCGCCTTTGTCGTCGGCTGGCTGCTTGTCATTGTTCGGTGCTGCGGCCGAAGCGACGACGATGGGCGGGCCGCCGCCGCCGGGGCTCATCAGCTGCGGATTCTGCTTCCTCCGGGCGTGCTCCTTGTCCAGCTCGCGCGCGAACCGCTCCACCTTGTCGGCGTTGGTCTCGCCGGCCAGCTTGCGGCCCTGGAACAGCAGCGACTCCACGCTCCTCTGCAGCAGCATCGCCTCCGCCTTCCACACCGCCTGCTGCTTCGTCTCGCCGCCGCACGCCCGAGGCGCCCGCCCGCCGCCGCCGCACCGCCCTCCCGTGCCCTGGACACCCATGCCCATGGTGGTGTTAGCATTGACAGGCCAGTTAATTACTCTTTATTACTTTAGAGATTAGAAAAGACTTGCATTGGGACTGACTGGCTACTAGCAATGTGTCCTTTTTACCTGGATGCGGATGTAATTGGTCGTCCTGCTATGTCCGAACGCCATGGCGACAGCTTGATCCACCTAAATGCAAGCAACAACATGAATACGCCAGATGGGATCACGCACCGTACGCTAAGCAATTCAACGAAATTTAACCAAACGCACGCACGATCCAGAGGTGCGTTCGTACGATGAAACCGCGGCGTCACATGAGAATTCATTGCTCGCTGCCGTTCGCGATGAAGAGACGCCGGAACGGCCGCGGTTGCTAGCTAGTTGGGCCGTACGTTACGTACCATGTCGGAGACGCCCTCGGCGGCGATGCTGGCGACCTCGGGCGCCCTGCGGCCGCGTCCGCCGGCGTCCCCCGCGCCCGTGCCGATGGACATGACGAGGAGGTCGTCGATGGTGACCGCGGCGGGGAACTCGCGCCGGTTGTTGAGGACGTGCGTGATGGCCGCCGCCGTGGGGTTTCCCAGCGCGACGCCGCCGCCGACGGCGCGGATCCGCGTGGCGCCGTCCACGGACGCCACCTCCACCACCGCTGCCCCGGCCGCGCACGTGGCGGCGCACACGTCCCGCAGCCGGAAGTCGTGCGCGGCGCACTCCGCGGCGTCGGCGCGCGAGAAGAGGAACGGCGCCCGCGTGGCCAGGTCGTAGCAGGGCACCAGGACCGGGCGCACCGTGTCGCGGAGCGTGAGGTCGCCGAGCGCCCTGCCGAAGGAGGCGGCGGCGGCGGGGGAGGAAGAGGGGCCGCGGCGGCGCGCGAACACCAGCTGCCCCAGGCCCCCCGCGCCGTGGCGGCGGCGGCGCATGCGGCGGATCAGGAACGCCAGCGCCTCGTCGGCGCTGCACATGGGCCGCCCGCGCGGCCCGCGCGCGAACAGCAGCGCCGCCAGGACGCCCCCCGCGCCCGACCCCGCGGCGACGTCGAAGAAGTCGGCCAGCCGCGCCGCGGGGCTGCCGGCGCGCCGCCGCAGCGCGGCCTCCAGGCGCACCAGCGCCGCGCCCGCCAGGAGCCCGTCGGCCGCGCGCGCGCCGCCGTCGATGGAGAGGACGCACACCTTGCGGCCCGTGCTGGCGGCTGCCCGCGGGTGCCCGGCGGCGGCGACGGCGGCGCTAGGGAAGAGGCCGCCCGGGACGTCGCAGCCGAAGAGGAACTTGGACTCCAGCAGGGAGAAGATCTCGTAGGTGAGCCTGCTCGCCGCGTCGACGTCGTCCTTGCCCTTCTCGCGGTCTGCCGCAGCCAGATCCGCCGCTTCTTCCATTGCTGCTCGCGGCGCGCGCGCTCACTTCTTGGGTGCCAGAGCGCGCGTTTTATGGCGGGAAGAAGGAAGAGAAACGGCCGGCGCGGCGCAGGTTAGCGGCCACGTCATCGCTCGCTCCCGCGTAGGGGAGTAGGTAGCTGGCGGTCGGACGCGTACGTACGTTCGTGTACTGGGGCGTGTATCGTCAATGCGTCTACGTATACTCATTGCTTTTTTCTTAGGACAACAAAAACTTTTTTTTCTCGCAAATGCTGTTAGGACAACAAATTTTTTTTTCTAGCGGTGCCTGAGCAACTCCTTTCAATGCTTCGTCACATTGTATGTATAAATGTGCACGTATTAGTGTCGCGTACGTACGTACGTTGTGGGACGCCGTACTGGATCGACGGGACGACGACGACGACACTTGTGCAGTTCGATCGATCAGATCAGTACGTGCAGGTGTACCGCCGTCTAGTGATCGAACGTGCGTAACCTCAGATGTGTGAGCGGACTGCACCTAACCGCGCGCGATGAGTCAATTTTTTCCATCAGAAATTTAACTCCATTTGTTATAAGCAATCACAGAGGACTCTTTCCCGAACAATTTTTTCTCAACACCAGCAGTGGCGGAGCTTGATGGAAAAACAAGAGGGGGCCATCAACATTAATTTCTTACTTAATATGGATATTTATTGATTTGAATCACCAATTCACTAGCTAGAACTTAGGCTGACCATGGAGTTTGCGGTGGTGGCAGAGAAGCCCATGTTTCGTCACCGGCGTCTGGGTTTCGAACAGGCAGACTCGGTTGTGATTGGGGCGAAAGAGTGGATGGGGCCATTTGTTGATGTCGCTTCCTCCTTGGAAGGATCCTCTTTGTACCTCTTATCCCTACCTGTTGGTTGATTGTTAAAAACATAAATAAAAAACGCCTAAAAGGCTAATTCTGTTGCTTGTTTTGGCTCTAAATTGCTCTTGATTTGTATGCTTGCGTATATGATGTATTGTCTTACTTGCCTTCTTTGGCAGCTTGAGATAGCCTACCAGTGGTGCTGAATTCCCTTGGGCTCGAGGTTTTCACCGAAATCTCTCAACACCACCAGTGCGCGGAGCTTGATGGAAAAACAAGAGGGGGCCATCAACATTAATTTCTTACTTAATATGGATATTTATTGATTTGAATCACCAGTTCAATGGCTACTTAAGGGAATTTTGAATCAGCAAGGAGGGGCCATGGCCTTCTTTGGTCTGCATGTAGCTCCGCCAATGAACACCACGTCTTCTCTCATCTCTCGACCCACTAGACGGTGTTAGAAGGTCCAAGGAAGGCTAGAGGTTTTGGCCAATGGAAGGAGGACAACTCGGATGAGAAATATGAAGTGGTTGCTGAAGATCCTCCCCGTTGGATGGCTACAATGCATAAAGTGCCACTGTCTTCACTATAGAAACACGATCGCTTGACGACAGTGAGGCTAGAATTATTCGGCAAGTTATGTGACGAGGTTGGAATAGGATTGAAACTTGAGTCTTTGTTTCTCTTTTTCGTGTTTTATACCCGGGGGTGGATCAGTCTCTAATTATGTACTATGAGCGTGTTATAATCAGCTATATTCACTCACTTCTAGAGGCCGGCCTTAAGTGAAAAAAACAACGCACCACATACTTCTTTACTTTTTAGCGATGGTACGTCATGGAGATCCGAAGAAAAAGGCCACATGAATCTCCACGATTCGTCCAAACTCAAAACAATGTAAGTATGGTATATGTGTAATAATATATACTGCCTTTGTTTTAGATTATAATTTTATTTTAGCTTTTCTAGATAGTCCGCTAGATAGGCACAAACAACTGAGAACTGTGGAAAATTTGGAAACTGAGTAAACATTCAACGTTGCATATTTAGAAGTTGGGAACAACGAACAAGTGAACAACCTGCTGATTGCTAGCTTGTTGTGGCTGGGCGTGGTGTGCTGTTGTCCTGCAGCGCAGGAGGCCAAGAGCTGCTGGCCAGCTATCCTCCTCCGCCTGTGCTTGCGCTACTGTTGCAGGCTGCGGCAACCAGCAGCGCAGGAGCCGCTGGAACTTGGCCAACTGCGGGCGCTCGGAGCCACTCTCCTCGATGTGGACGTGCGCCAGTGGCCGCGCCGTCGACCGATGTCACTGAGCCCCGATTTGGCTGCGCCGCAGCTCGATTTGGCCGGGGCGATAGGCTCGATCTGGGCACTTTTTTTTTTAGTTTGATTGAAATGTCAACCCCCTTGGACACTTTTTCTAGCAGTTTTTTGAAGGAACACTTTTTCTAGCAGTTGCCGTAAGGTCAAGTAGGGTACTTAGACTTCGTTTGGATCTAGACTAAATATGAGCGGTTTAAATATTCATATTCAATCTAAATTTCAGCAAAATTTGGCACAAAATTTGACATAAAACAAGTAAAACAACCTGCTTCTAGCTTGGTAGATGCTAATTGCTACAAATTTCTCTGTCTCTCCCTATTTACAAAAGATAACATATGGTAGAACGGTAATGCTCTCCTCATGGCATTCGCTCCAGACACGTCCGTCGTGGGCCTGCGGAGTCCAATACGAAACTTGCTCCCGGCTTCTCAAAAAAAAACGATTCTGCCACCTCCTTCTCCATCTCAACCACCCGCTGCTGGCTGGTACTGGCGGCGTCGAGCTCGGCGCAGAAGGTGCGCGTTCTCGCCTAGAGCCGCGACGTCGGTCTCGATGAACGGCATGATGGTGATGGTCTCCTTGAGGATCTTGTGCTCCAACAGCTCGGTGCGGAGGCGGGACTCCTGCTCTCGAAGCTCCTCGACAAGGCAGATGAGGTCCACGGCTGCGGTGCTCGATGGCGGCTTGGGAGGCCCCATCGCTGCACCTGCGCGGACGACCACGGGAAGTAGCAAGAGAATGGCCCGCTAGGGCGACATAGTCGCCCGCTCACTGGGCCGCTAGTATCTCCCCCCACTCTATGGCATCGAGCTCCGCGTCGACGAGCCTCCATTCATCCTAGCAGCAAGTAGATGCTACGTGGAAAAGCGCATATTGCAAAAGTATGTTTTAAGTGTTTCAGATATTTTAGAGGTATGTTGCAAGTGTTAGATCGGGATGTTGCACATGTTATAATGGCTATACACGTATGTTTCAAGTGTATGTTCCCAGTGGCGGATCTAGAAATACAGGTTAGGAGGGCTTATCCTTCTTAATTTCTACACTTAGCCTCTCCTTCTAAAGTTCAATGGCTATAAAATTATAGTAGGGGCTTAGGAGGGGCTCTATGCATCCGGCGACGGTAGCGGGGGCTCGAGCCCCGGCCGCCCTGGTGCTGGATCCGCCCCTGTAAATGTTTTATCTGTTTCAGACGTATGTTGTAAGTGTTCTATTTGGATGTTGCAAAAGTAGATCTAGATGTTGCATATACATGTATATTGCAAGCATATGTTTCAAGTGTTCCAGGTGTTTTCATACGCATATTTGCAAGTGTTTCATCTGGTGTTGCATATATTTGCAATGGTTTTTAAGTGTTTTTCAGGCATTTTCCACAAGTGTTTACACTTATTTCAAGTGTTTCATCTGTCTTCAGACATATGTTGGAAGTGTTGCATATAGATGTTTCAAAAGTAGATCGGATGTTGCATCTCCCTCCTTACTTTCTACTGCCTCGCCTTGATGTTTCCTCCTCCCGGCGCTGGCTGGGCATCCACCACCCTCTCTCCCTCTTTTCTTGATGTCGATGACGTTCAGGGGCGGCATGGGCCCCACGTGGACGTGCGAAAACGGCGTGAAAAACGGCTATAGGCGCGGGCTCCCGAACGCCCCGTCCGTCCGAACATCCGAGCACTAAGCCAGAGATATTGGGTTAAAAAAATGAATAGAAAAAAGAGTAAAATGTTCATTTTTTTTATTAGTTGCACCACAAAAGCTTTAATACTTATGTAACACAAGATTCTAGTTTGTGATGGAGCATGGGTGGACGACTAATAATCCATAATCTAAGATTATTATAATCCCATCCACAACGAAATTCTAATAATTCAAAGGTAATTTAAACATGCCTCTAATAACAGTAAGATTCCCTTCAATAGGATGTTTCCCCCCTTTTTTCCCTGTCTTGTAACAAATTGTTACATCATTGTTCGGATACATATGTATATGCGATCATCAGTTACCAAAGGAAGTCATTAATTCATGTCAAAATGGTTCTTTCACATGAGTACTACACTAGTACCAAAATCATTGCAAAGAAGGATATTGCACAAAACACTGAAACATCACACTTTGGCAACCAATGAGGCACTTCATTTCGAATTGCTGGCATCAAGGTGAGGCCATAATAACACTTGGATTCGCCACGCAGTTCTATGAGTCCAAGACACAACACGCACACATTTTAACACGCAGTGTTAATCTAAAACTACACAATGAGGCTAGCTAACTAGATTGACGAAAGATCCTCATACACAGATTTGATTCCCGGCCTCTCGGAGACCGGCCGGATGCACCTCAGTGCAATGCCCAGGGCCTCCTTCATGCCTTTCACAGCCTGTGGGTTCTCTGAATCCGAGGCCATGGCCGCGTCAAAGCAGTCAGATCCCCTTCCTTCTGCCACCCGCAGCCTAACCCAGTCAGTGAGGTCAACACCGCCCTCGGACCCCGAGACGACGTCCCCAGCGCACCTGCCCGCCAGGAGCTCCAGAAGCACGACCCCAAAGGCATACACGTCAGACTTGAATGAGGGAGACGGTTTCTTGGAGGCCGCCAGCTCCGGGGCACGGTAGCCCAGCACGCCCAGGTCTAGGATCTGCTCCACGACGCCAGCCTGTGTCATCAGGCGGTGTAGGCAGTAGTCAGCGACGCGGGCGTTGAGGTCAAGGCCATCCAGCAGGATGTTGGTGGCCTTGAGGTTTCCGTGGGGCATTGCGCGGTCAAAATGGAGGTAGTTCAGGCCCCGTGCGACGTCTACCGCGATCTTCAGACGCTGTGCCCAGGTCAGTGGAGGACCTCTCCTTCCTGGTCGATCTGTGCAATCAGAGAATCATCTCAGCAGAGTAGGTGACTGAATTTTGCTGTCTGACCATGAGTAAGAGTTAACTACTAGTATGGCATGCACATCAAGTACGCAAGAACCATTATTTAGAGTAAGGAATCTGCAGAAACAAGTAATCAGTAGATGATGGCATTACCGTATAAGAAGCTTGCAAGACTTCCTGGCGCAACATAATCTGACAAGATCAGTTTCTCATGTGGGGTTGGACCCCAGTAGTACCCACGCAAACCAACCACATTTGGATGTCGGATGTTTGCAAATTTCTTGGCCTCCTTTGCAAATTCTTTCTTGGGCCTTGCAACACCTTCCCTCAGCCATTTCACAGTCAGGAACACACCATTCTCCAGTGTCGCCCTGTATGAAGTCCCATGGCTGCTCCTGCCTAGAACTTCAGCTGGTGCCCTTGAAAGTTCCTCTGGCGTTAGTGTGATTGTTTCATCCAGGAAATGCAACTCCCCTGCTAACCTGTCAGGCGATCTCACATCCAACCGTGCCAATCCTTCCTGGCCATATGCCTCTCCTGAATCCGGTGACCAAGAGAAGCGGCTGCCCTTAGATGGTGAAAAGCCCCCAGCAGCTGACTTCTCTTCTTGGCTAAGTGCTTCAGATGTAGAGCCTTTTCGAGGAGTAACAAGTTCATCTGCTGAGACCAAACCACCTTTGTTGTCTTTTCCTTTCATACCAGCACTGTCTTTAGTAGCCCTGTGGAGGCTCTTGTCTGAAACCTTTTCAGAGCTAGGAAACTGCCGTGAGATTCGCTTGTAGTGGCATACAATAGCAATAAGTATAAGGATGACAAGAACAACAATGCTAGCTGCTACAATTGCTACTTTAGCACCTGTACGGAGTGATTTCCCACCTCCTGACCCAGATGGGGAATTGCCAGATCCAGATGAGCTAGCAGGATACTCTAATTTTGAGTTCCCAGGATGGAAAGAAGATTCTGGAAACTTCCTCAAGTTCTCTGGCACAACACCCGAAAGGTCATTATAGGACGCATTGAAGGATAGGAGGTTATCTGGAAGATCCTCGGGCAATGGCCCAGTGAACTGATTCATTGATATATCAATATCAGTAAGAGCCCCAAGCTTACTCACAGCAGCAGGTAATGGACCAGAGAAATTGTTTGTTGAAATGTCAAGAACTCGGAGGCCAGATAAGGAGGCAACATCATCAGGGAGACTTCCATTGAAGTGATTCCCAGAAACATCAAGCACTTGAAGACTCAAATTTTTGGATGAGGAACCAGGAAAAGATAGGCCACCAGAAAGCATGTTATCTTGGATGTAGAGTTCTTGCAGCATGGACGAAGTTAGCAAATCAGCGGGCGTAGGACCATGCAACTGATTGGAGCTCAAGTCAAGCACAGTAAGTTTAGGGTACTGAACAATAGCTTCAGGGATGGTCCCAGATAGAGCATTGCGTGAAAGATTTAGGTAGTTTAGGCGAAGGAATTGTGAGCTCACATCAGGAATTATACCAGTTAGGTTGTTCTGACTAAGGTCAACATATTCCAAATCGCTAGTCCATTTGGCAATAACTGACAAATTTCCTCTGAACTTGTTGTTTGAAAGATCTAACACAGTGCAGCTCCCAGCAAGCAATGGAAGATCCCCAAAAAGAGCATTCGAGGACAGGTTAAGGACTTGCAAAGTAGTTGATGTGATCATATTGATATGGCCTGCATAGTAAAGTAAATACAATTAGTACAAAAGATAAGAAATGAGTGGTTCTCATACTATCATCAGAGAATGCCATCATAGGAAAGGAAATATGCAAACACTGCAAATGCATTAGCACACTTAACATTCATGTCCTGTGCAGTCTTACAGTATTTGCTAATGTACTGAATTCTAGGGGCAAACCCATTACTTTTACTCAAAGCAAGCCAATGATTTGCATGACCTCAGGTATCATAACTATAGCATGAAGCCATGAAATGCACAGGTTCAATTCAATCATAGTTTATACAGCTGGGGCTGCTAGCCTTGTTACTTATTGTATCAGAAAGGAGTCCACAACATTTAAAGCCAACCACATGGCAAGATGTCCTAGTTCTTTACTCTGTAGGCCAGGCAGGGTACTAATTTTGAGAAGCATAGAGTAGTGTAAGGTACTGTAACTAGAATGGTGGAGAAACACTGCACTGCAACTCTAATCAATTAGTACAGAAGAGGGTCATAAAACAATTACATGTCACATATTTACATATTACTTCCATGCCTTTGTAACATAACACAAATTTATGGTGCAGTTTAACTGGACGTGACATTAGTATGTTGTGCCCGACATTATCTGCTTCTATCTTGCCATCAGGATATATGCCCGCAAATCAAGTACTCGTTTCCATTTAATAGAACTTTTTTATTTATGTTGGCTGTTGTTTTATCTCCTTTCCTTTAAAAATGCTAACTCAAGCTACTGCATTAACCAGTCTGCCTCTATGCATGTATAACTACCATATCAAGTTTGTTATCAGCGAGTTTTGGAACGAGAACCAACCCATTAGTTGCACTGGACAAAATTAATAAGTTTTAGACAATGGCACAGTAGGGAACATTATGAGCACACATTTGCACAAAGAATCTCCTATGCTGAATGAAAGCTCTATATAGAACTTACCTAAGGGGCAAAACAGAATAAGCTAACTGGTGCGAACTCAAGCACATTGAGCATAGCATTCAGTTCATATTATTGGGTAATCAGCAGTTCAAATCATCATTTGTATACAATGATACACAGTGCTAGATGAGAATTTATGTTTGATATTTTTTTCACAGGTTGCATGGACTAACACTACTTTAAAGCCAACCAATAGACAAGATGGCTACTTCTTTACTTAGTAGGTCATGACAGGGCACTAATTTTGAGAAGCTTGGAGTTTAGTGAGGTACTATAATTAGAATGGTGGATACATTGCACTACAATTCTACAGAACTAGTACAGAAGAGATTAAATAAAAGAACTACACAACAGATGCACATGTTACTTCCATTTATTATGTACTAAAACCAGAAATTCATAGTGCAGTTTAGTTTAGCTGAACATGAGATTCGTAAGGTGTGCCCATTGTTATATCTGATTTCATCAGCAAGAAATCTTTCCATCAGGACATATATCCCAACCCCAGTACTTAACAGTTAACACAAATGCTATCATCAATCACATAGTATGAAATATTATGAGCAAGGATTAGCATAGATAATCATTCATGTTAAATGAAAACTCTATATAAAATTCACCTAAGGGTAAAATTAGAATAAGTACTCATGCAAACAAACATATATCATTCAGTTCTTTTGTTTTTGTAATTAGCAAGTCAACTAGTCATTTAGATTGCATAAAGACGACAAGATAAAGGATAAGAAACACAAAGTGCTATATCAGAATTAATGGTTGATGTTTTTCACAACTTGTGTTAACCAATGCTACTTTTGTGCTTGATATTAGGGGCAGACCCAGTGCCGGAGGCTCCCACATGAGTGGGGTCTGGGGAGGGAAAACGAGGCAAGCCTTCCCCCCGCAAAATCTGCGGAGAGGCTGCTTCGAACCCGCGACCTGGTGACTCAGTGAGACAGCTCTCACCACTGCACTAGGCCTGCCCTTCACTTTTGTGCTTGATATTCTGAAGAAAAAAAGACATTGGACTAGGTAATCTTCATGATGTATTGCATTCAGCAAAAAGGAAGAGGGCTGAAAGAATAATTGTTAAGTAGAGTTAGTACCTGTCAGGTTATTAGTACTCAGGTCCAGCTCGCTCAGGACCAGAGAATCACCCTTGAGAAGCCCACTAGGCACAAATCCAGTGAATGCATTGTTTGCGAGTCGCAAAACTTCAAGATCATAAACATAATTGAACCCTGGGAGGTCACCAGATAACTGATTGTTGCTCAGATCAAGGACCTTCAGTCTCCCAAAAGTAGAGAGCTCAACACCATCTATCAACGATCCAGTCAGCCTGTTGTTGCTCAGGTTCAGATACAGAACCGTCTCTGAAATATCCGCTAGAAACTTGAGCTCTTTGGGCGTAGTACTGGTGAGCAGGTTCCCGCTGAAGTCAACATGAACAACAGCGGACTCAATCAAGAACTTCCAATCAACTCCACCCTCCAACTGGTTCCAGCTCAGATCCAAAGACTGCAGGTTCACAAGGAGTCCAAGCCCAGAAGGAATACCCTTCGTGAAGGCATTACAGGACACGTTCAGCGCAACCAAGCTCTTCAGCCCTTTCAAAGCCACAGGCAGCGGACCAGACAAAGAATTGCGGCTCACATCCAGCGACTGCAGCGACATAAGCCCGTCGATGGACTCAGGCAGCGGCCCAGAGAAGTTGTTCCCAGCAAGCGACAAGTTCTGCAGGCTCCGGAGATTGCCGATACCTTCCGGCACCGGCCCCGAGAACCGGTTGTTGGAGACATCCATGAACTTGAGGCTCTTCAGGCTGCCCACATTGCTCGAGAGGCTGCCCGAGAGGTTGTTGTTTGCCACAGAGAGCTTCACGAGCGATGTGAGGTTGGCGAACACGGAGAGGTCGGCAACGCCCGAGATGCCGTGGCCGTCGAGCACGACCCCCGCCACGCTGGCGCCGTTGCACACGACGCCGTTCCAGGACGCCGGGCACCCGTTGAAGTCGATGGACTCCTCGTTCCAGGAGTCAGTGATGTAGCCGGCGGGGTCGTGCGTGATGCCCTTCTTGAAGGCCAGGAGCGCCAGGATGTCCTGCGAAGGCAGCTGAGCAAGCGCGGGGGAGACAACGAGCAGGAGCAGCGCCAGGAAATCCCCCAGAAGACCCATCACTCACTTTCTTCCTCCACGGATTGGTTGGGAGGCTGGTAGTTTGCTAGTAGGATTCAAGGACGTATTTCTTGGAGGAGATTGGAGCGAGCGTGGGCACAGGGTAGCCCAGCCACAGCACTTGTCCCTTTCAGCTGATCTCTGCAGCAGCTAGTATGGACATAAACCCCCCAGATTCCTCCGTTTCAACTCCTTTAAACCTGAAATGAGCACAAAAATGTCAACTCAGGCACAGATTCCAGCTTGAACAAACCCCCTGAAAGACCGAATCTTTGAGCTCCGAAAAGAGTTACTAGAGCAGTAAAAATCTAGCATATTCCTCAAAAAAAAGAGAGGAAATGTAGCATAAATAGCCAGTAAAAAATGCTTCTTTTTTCTGACAGCACAAAAATCATCTTTCAGCACACAAAGAAAAAAAAACACGGCTTTATTAATCCCTCAACAAGCACGGCGGTAAAAGTGGTGGCTTTGGCCGCAAAAACAGCTACCAACCGCGGGCGGAACCGCCCATAAACATCAAAGACGGAAGAACACCTCCGGTCTCCAGATGCAATGCGGATGCGAATGCACGCAGGAAGAGCAGGGAGCGGCGCGGGTGTCCTTTACCTTGCAACGACACCGAGCGTGCGCTAGCAGCGCACAGAGAAGAGCAGCCACCGCCTACCAGCAGCACCGCGCTTGGCGACCGAGCAGCAGGGTGGAGAGGGAAGGAAGGGAGGAATGGGTGGAAGAAGGAAAGGATAATGGGAGCAGGGGAATGCAATGGGGGGCCGGCACGGCCGGAGCAGCCCTGGGGAAGACGGCACAGCCGCGGAACCCTAACCCTAGCTAGCTAGGGGTGGATGGGTTTGGTTCCCGGCAGCTGCTGTGGCTGTGGGGCGGCGGAGGAGAAGAAGAAGAGGGGAGGGAGTCAGCTTGGGGGCAATGGAGTGGAAGTGGACTAGTGGAGAGTGGAGGCGGGCAGCAGCTGTGGGGGATGGGAGTGTCTTTTCTCGGTCCTTGGTCCTCCGTTGCCTTTTGGTTCCCCTTCCCGGCTTCCCCCTCACGGTCACGGTCACGGTCACGTTCACGGATGAGGATGTACAGAACTTAGAACTACAGAGTGTAGTGTGTAGTTAAAGTATGTATACGTACGGTAGGGTTTTTTTTTGGAGAGAGAGGTAGTATACGGTAGTTTTGGACTTGTGGTCAAAGACCGAAGGTGAAGCGTGCTTGGGCTTGAGATGTGGCATTGAAGGGCAGGGGAATAATGGGCGTACGTACGTATGTAGCACGTACAGTACATGGAAACAGGACGGAGTGGACCGTGGTCGAGCCCGTACGTACGTGTACGTGTACGGTGCCGCCCGGAGGAACACACGGATACGGGCACGGTACGCACGCGGACCGGGGACGCGAATGCGTGACTTGGCAGGGGCAGGGGCGGAGTCGCGAAAGTGCGAAACGGAGAGGGGTGATTTCCCGCGATTTTCCCCCGCCAAAAGGCCCGCCGTCGGGCTTCCCTAGCGGACCCCAAAAGCGCGGCTCAACTCCCCGTCTAATCCGGCCGCCCCCACACCCACACCACACTCCCTCCCCACGGGGCTTGTTTGCCATAGTAGACTACGTCAAAAAATATGGAGCCAGTAAGTCACTACACCTTTTGTTTTCCATTACAGCCCTTAGTAACCTAGATCATCTACCATGTAATTAGAGAGTAGATGTCCCATATTGACATTTGTCCTCCCCTCTTATAAACCTAAGTTAGGGGTGTGGAGGGAAGGGGTTCAGGACCCTCTTAAGTTCGTACAATTTTCACTGAATTACTCCAAACTTGAATCAACTTCTAAGTTAGGGGTGTGCTTGGGTTAAATAGCCATGTGAAATGCTCCAATGCAATTAAGTAGGTGAGGAGGGAGTGCTTCATACGACGGGACGTCGCCTACCACTGAAAGCATAGCGTCGTTAAATCTGAAATAAATCAAGGAAAATATGAGCACTCGTGCCAAGTCGAGTACCTAAACCCGGATGGACAAGTTCCACCACAAGGAACTTAACCAACTAATCTATGATCAGTTCGCATAGGATACTAGTATTATGTTCCCTACGTGTCATGTGTAATGCGGATGGCCACAAGAGCAATGCCAAGTGTGTCCAAAATAGCATATTACCGTTTTTATTATCTTATAATATATCACTACTACGATATGAGATTTAGTCCCACATAACCGGATACTAGTGTTGTTCTTTAGTCCCCGTGCCATGTAAAAGATCCCAAATGTGTCTCACACACGCATACTCGTGAGATTCCACAAGACCAATGCCAAGTGTGTCCAAACACAACACATCTAACAATGGATGGGATGCTTTCTTTTTGAACTTATCTTATAATCCCGGTATGTGTTACCAACCGGGACTAAAGGGTCCTTAAACAAAGATAAATTTTTTTCCAGGTTGATGAAAAGGTTGGAACTTTAGTCCCGGTTTAGCCGTTAAGGCGGGGACCTTTAGTCTCGGTTGGAGAACCAACTCCTCTACCTACAAAAATGCCGAGGCTGCAAATTGGGACATCGTTCTAAAGTCATTCTCTAGTAGTGTATTTCAAACAAAGATAAATTTTTTTTGATGAAATCAAAAGGGAGAAGCACTCCTCACCTACTTAATTGCATTGGAGCATTTCACATGGCTATTTAACCCAAGCACACCCCTAACTTAGAAGTTGATTCAAGTTTGGAGTAATTCAGTGAAAATTGTACAAACTTAAGAGGGTCCTGAACCCCTTCCCTCCACACCCCTAACTTAGGTTTATAAGAGGGGAGGACAAATGTCAATATGGGACATCTACTCTCTAATTACATGGTAGATGATCTAGGTTACTAAGGGCTGTAATGGAAAACAAAAGGTGTAGTGACTTACTGGCTCCATGTTTTTTTTGACATAGTCTACTATGGCAAACAAGCCTTCAATCCCGCCGGTGGGTCTGGCGCTAGGAGGACCGAGGTGGTCGAGGCCAGGATGTGGATGAAGGACATCATCACGGACAAGTGTTGACTACCGCTAGACTTCTTCCTATGATGTCGAGGGTCGCTACCGCCTAGGTCTCCCATGCGCACCCCGCTTCCCATTTCATCGACTTGCAGTTGTACATGATGAAATTGGTGTTCTTGTTCTTGTTAGATTGATCTCCACCAGTTGGCCCAATGGCCAATTGGGCCCTTGATCTGCTCCCTGATCGGGGACGCCCAGCCGTTCTCCTGGTTGATGGGCCCCCGTCGCGTAGCGCTATAAAGAGGAAGGTGGGGGCCGGGGCGCAAGACAAGAGGTTCACCGTAGCCGCCAGCGCCCCACCATGTCTTAACCCTAGTCCGATCGTGAGGGTGCGCTGTGAGCGACGGGAAGCTCCACCGCCTTCACCACTGCCTCCAGACCGCGCCTGCACTCCTGCCTTCTTCGAGACCCTAGCGGGCGCGTCAAGCTACTGCTACTTCCTCGCCGGCGCCATGGCCGTGACTTCACTGGGCGAGGTACATCATCAAGTTCCATTTGTCTAAGTTGAGTTTTACCCACTGATCTACGCCTAGATAATCCAATAATTCTATCAGTTCTTTCGATCTCTAGTTTTTTTAATGGTGTTTGTAACTATAGGCTGCGCAAGAGATCATTTAAACCTATACCGTTGTTATTCAACTTTTCATTGGACTCCTCAACGAAGGAAATTGAGGATAAACTTTGTTGTTTATTGACATTCATCCAAGGACATATTACACTATTATTGTTATAAAAAAATATTGCATTCTTAGAGCTGGAGCTACACTATAAACCAAACGGGTCTACCTACTCTACTAACTATAAAGTAGTGTTGCTTCATGGTAGGGTTAGTGGAGCAGAGCACTCCCAAACATGCCGTAGTCTGCTAGACTCCAACCCACAGCTGCCTGCACGTCATTCTATCATTGGATACACTTTAGCAGTAAAAACTTGTAGCCACCACTCGGTCACTCAACCAGCAGGCAAGGTCGTGACAGGCTAAAGATTCCAACGTGGCATGGTCAAATAGGGTAACAGGTTAGAGGGAGGGAGATGGTCTGTGTGCATTCCTCAACTCAGCCATGTGCAAGAGCCAAGAGAGGACAGTGCAGGCCGGTAGAAATGGGCAACGACTTGACCTCATTGGATCCGGTGAATACAGTTCCCAACTGCACCCGTATGTGTCCACCTGACCTGGCTGCATCAGCAACTCCAACTCAGCAGCTAGCATCAACAGCAAAGTACATGCTGTACTCGTACCATGCACTCCGTATTCGGTGAGGTCGCCGGACAGAACAACACTGCGTGCTGGGGTATTATTGTTTTCCTGCGTTTCGTATACAAGAATATAAAGTTTACCAAAGTTTCTTCTTCTTTTTTTATATATGAACCTGAATAGGGATAAAAAGTTCAACATTCAGACATGATGCTTTTAATCTTTTTCATTCAGATAAAGAACCTCAGCTTCGCTTTGATCCAGCCACCTTTCTCGTTCTTTCCCTTTCATGTTTTTAAGTAAACGGGCACCATGTTTGTGGCATCGAGTAAAGTTGCACTGGCCATGCCTCATGCATGTGTGGTTTGACCCCAGCACCTGTGATCTCGTATACTTAATTCACAGCTCTTGCAACTCTACTGCTACACAGATTCCTGCTGCCATGCTCCATATCTCAAAGATACTACTCCTACACGTGCTGCACCGTAGCTAGCAGTAGTTTTACAGGTGCGTCTATCAGTGCATGCATGATTTGTAATGAGATGAAGTGTGATTGAAACAAAAAAAAAATCCCGCAATGCCAATGGATGCCAGACCTTCTTCCTCATCTTGCAGCTGCTAGCCAGCCAGGAGTGAAAGTCCAGAGAGGTGGTGGTTAGGCAGTAATGGTCAAAGGGCTGTGCTGGGCTCAGCAGCAGCATCCAAAGCAAGCAAGCAAGAGGGTGCAGTGCAGTCTTCCACAGCCAAGGCCGGCCCACTGATTGTTCACTGCACAATCACTGCTGGCATGCAGAAACGCAGTGCAGTGCAGGGGTGGCCCAAAGTTTGTTGAGTTGCTGCTTTAGAGGAAATGCCTACCACTTTTTTTCCCAGTCTTTCCTTTTGAAAACCTTTTGCAAACTTTCGAGGTGAGTTCAACAGTAATTGCCTAGCTTTAGGCACTTTGTTAAGCTTGATCTGGATCCCATAAGCGAGCTTTACTTTTACAGTTTTACTACCTCTGCCTGCTTTGCAATGCAATGCAAAGGTGTTGTAAAGGTTCAGGTTCAGGCTCAGGCATGCATGACTCGTGTGTTCAACCACAGACTCAGCCAATTAGCAGCCCAACCAAGCAGAGGTTTATGGTAAACGGTAAGTCACTGCCAAACTTGTGAAAAACAAGACAACCACACATTTAGGAGATAGGACAACACGGCAAAAGATGAACAGTGCAGCTTGGATGGATTATGTGGGGACTGCACCAAACTTGTACAGGTGCATTCAGTTCTCTCTTGCCTCGGATGATTCTTTCTTATCCTGCTTCTAATCCACCCACCAGTGGTCAAAAACAAAGCCAGTAAAAACGAGTGAGTACTATAGAAGTCTAGGACTACTTTCTTTTCTTTTCCTTAAAGGAAAAAGAAGTCTAGAACTGCGAGTGTAGTAGTCTTTCTGCATCAGTACTTAGGGCCTGTTTTGCGGGATCTAGAAAATGGTTCCGGCGAGTGTAGTAGCTTTCTGCAAAACGGTACTTAGTAGGGCATCAGGTCTGCTTCGTTTTCGAGGCTTCTTCTCCTGCGGCAGCATAAAATGACTCCGACTCCCCAAGTCAAAACATACGTTTGGCACAGCTCTCGAGTGCCCCTAAGGAGGCTCTTAGTAGGGCATCAGGTCTGCTTATATCACAAGTCAGCCAGCGTTCGAGTGCCTATCATGACAAAGACTAGAGACCCTGGACAATCTACGTCTCTTGGCAAAAGTGCAAAACGGATGGGAGAAGATATGGCACAGTACTGCATTGCAACCCTTGGGTATCAGTGGTCTCACGTGTTTGGAGCAGGTCATGTTTTATCCTGACAGACTCACTCAACTGGTCACAACATTGTAATTATTAGTAAATAGTAATTTTTTGGTGATGGCTGGATTAGGACAAGAGAAGAGTGAGGTGTTGCTCACTGTCACTGACCTTTGTATCGGCGCACGCTGCAGGTATCTTTACAGCGAAAAGCCGGCGCCAAGTGTTCTGGCCTGGGGCACGCACCAACAGTTTGCACTTTGCACGCTTAGCCGGAGCTCACTCAGCTTCGTAAAGAAAAGTTTAGCAATAAAGTAGATTTTATTTAAGTCCCTTTTGCCTTTTGATTGAGTTTTCTTTTTCAGTAAGCGTGCATCTTTAAGATAACCGCGTAGGAACGAATGAGTTGAGCACAGATACTGAAACACTTATTTGTTTTGGAAAAAAAATATAAAAGAAAAGGTGTAACTGAAGGACACAGCGCCATACAGGTTGGTGAAGGACCGAAATAATGCACTCTTTTCGTGGTCCTTCCTTTCTATGAATTGTACTATTTTCACCTATACATAATCACCTCGTCCGCACTCCGCAGGCAGCTAGCTGAACTAGTTCTACTAGGAGTACCTTTTTGTGTGTGCTCAATGCTCATGCTTCACACTTGCAACAGAAGAGACATATGTACATTTCTGACCCATGCGGGGTGCAAGATCGAGCCAAACAATGATGACGAACACAACCACCTCCAATAGCACCACTCTGGCGCCGTTCGTTTCGCTAAAAAAACAAGCCAAAACACTGTTCCGTCTGATTCGTTACGAGAGAGAAACACTGTTCCACCTGAAAAAACAAGCTGAAAAGTACGGATTAAAAGACAAGCTGAAAAAACACTTATCTGATCAACATTCGCTGTACATGTGGCCAAATGGATATTCTTCTTTTAGCAGAGTACACGAATTGCAACCTATCCGGAATAGGAAGGTATCATGCCCACCCGTCTCCACACTAGCACAAACTACCACTACCAGTAAGCACTGGTTGGATAGATTGTAAATTTGTAATGATTTTGTGTGTGGATTTTTCTACTTGGATTCTCTGATTTGGTTCCTAACCTAGGCATCACCTTTTTCATGAAAAGAGAGGTAGAAGCAATGATCACTGTAGATTTTTAGTTAGGGGCGGTGATTAGGGCTTAGACCAGAGTTACAATTATTCTGATGGGTCTCCTCACTCTACTGGGAGACAAAATCAGTACATAGGAACTGGCAATGGAGGAGTGATTCATGATTGCTCTGCCCCATCAGCAACAACACAAGCCCAGAAGGCCTTCGCGCGCACACAGCCACACACACACACCCGTGCTTGCACAGTTGCACGGTACTAACAACCTCTGCCTTGGTTTTTGGCTTTTTTGCTGATGCTTCCGGCAAGAATCCTAACTGTATGTCCATCATTGCGAATGAAGACTAGAGTTTGTTGAGCTCATGATGCTGCTCTCCATTCTGTGTTCTTCTGGAAATCTTGCCATCTATGCAGTTTTTTTTCCCTATAACTTTGTTGGAGTCATGTTGCAAGGTACTACTAGTAGCAGCTAGTCAGTAGCATAATACTAGCAGTTTACTTGCAACTGCAACCAACTGTCATGGATCCTCTGCTCGACCTGGTGATGTATGATTTCAGGCCCAGTTCTAGCCCAACAACACTTGATCGCTTTTTCTTCAATAGTTTTGCCTGAATGATGCAGTGCACACACACACACACACACACACACAGGGAAAAAAAAACTCAGTAAATTCAGAGCAATTTCAGTAAAGTCAGAGTGTGAGCCAGTATCATCACTCATCAAACAGAAATGGTTTGACTCTACTATGGCTGATGGCTCTAAAAATTTAAATACCTGCCTAATGCCAAATGAACGACCACAAGTCCAGAAATCACCCTCCATCTGTCTCTCTAAGTTAACATATATATCATTTCCTTTACTGCATCGCAAGCAGCATAATATGTACCCAGGTGAAAGAAAAAAAAACGACTGCTTCGCGAAAGTTCAGGATTGGATCCCACAGGCTGAGAGCCTACGACGTTGTTATGGAACTAGAGACAGTGAAATGTTGAAATGAACATAGGAAATTGATTCAATAGCACAAATATTCTGAGAAAAATGCAATTAGAAAAACTGACTCACAAAGGAACAAATAAATCTCAATCAAGGGATAAAGCAAAAGCAAGAAGGTTCTCAGCACTATCCATTCACCAGCTAGATGTTTCCTCCAAATTCGACCATCTTCAGTCAGCCATGTGAAGGACAAAGAGTGACTGATCAAACAACACTACAGCAGCGAGCCATGGGTCCACGGCACCACGCAGCAACTGACACTTGTCAAACCGAGCATAGTCACTTGTTGCTACCTCTAACCTCCCTGTTGCTGTATTTGAAGCAAGAGCTACCTGCAAACAAGTTTGCCAAGAAAGAGAGAGAGACTGACAGCAAAAGGAAGAGTCCGATCCAGAGCCATTCATGCAGCATGGCAGCCTCAGTCATGGCCTCTTTGTCTCTGAAACCGTCTCCATTCTTGGATCGGTCGAGGTTCACAGGTGTCCGGCCATCAGCAAGATCTTCAACCTTCAGAGTTATGGCCAAGAAAACAAAGAAGATCCAAACATCCCAGCCTTTCGGTCAGTGCATACATGAAACATAAACATAATCTAGCATTTGAAATAAAAATACAGATGTTAACCTGAAGTATCTGACATAGTAACTTTTATAACCCCCTCGAAACAGTAAATGTGTTGTTCCTTTTCAAGCATGCATATGCATACCATTCTGTCAAATCTTTAAACAACCTCATAGTGTATTGGATACAATTCCCATGTAGCACTCTTCTGGAATCGAATACTAACAAGCATTTTCTTGTTGACAACTTGACATACAGGGCCTGCAGGAGGGTTGAACTTGAAGGATGGTGTTGATGCATCTGGAAGGCTAGCCAAGTTAAGTGTTGATGTTGCAAGAACAAAAGAGATAATCAACAGAAAAGGCATCGCTGTCAATTAGTAATATTGTTCCTATATTGATCAGGGGAAGGGTGTCTACCAGTTCGCCAATAAATACGGAGCAAATGTTGATGGGTACAGGTAAAATTCATCTTGGTGTTAGTGCTATAAAATTACTCAATAGAAAGAAATTGAAATACAAGATTATGAGATCTGGTAACAGGGAACTGTACTTTTCAGTAAGCAATAGTGCTTGAAACATACAAAAATACTAAAAGGGGGCCAGAACAGAATTAACACTCATATTCATCTTTCATCTTCGAATATAATGATGCTAATCTTTTCCTTGTAGTCCAATATATAACCCAGAAGAATGGTCTCCAAGCGGTGACGTTTATGTTGGAGGTACGCACAGAAAACCCTTCCAAAATAAGATCCTTGAAATGCTCACTGCTACTATAGAGAACTTTCAGATGTTTCAATTCCCAAGGCACATATAACCGTCCGTCCTTGATTTATGCAGGAAAGACAGGGTTGTTGCTCTGGGCAGTCACTCTTGCTGGAATATTGCTGGGTGGTGCTCTTCTTGTTTACAATACTAGCGCCCTGGCTTCTTGAAGCCTGGCTGCAGCAAATAAAATTATGTGCCATGCAGTGTCACGTAGTTTAGATATATCTGTATCCAGCTGTCCCTAGATCCATAGGATATGTGAATGAAAAATCCATAAATAATTATCATTGCTATGTGTTGTACAATGTGAGAAACTGAGGAAATTCAGTAAGGGGAAGAAACCTATGGCTTCAGATAAGAAGGCCGTGGTCCCATAAATAAGGTATACCAAGACCGTCTGAACCAAAATACTAAACCTTAGGAAAATTGCTATACTTATGAAGTTTTTACAGATTTTGAAACTCGGTCGATGAAAGAATAGCATAATGGATTCCATGCTCGCATATCCCAAGTAACGCTCCACATTGCATTTCTTTCCAGAATATTATGAAAGAATCAATCAAATTGGTATCGTTTAGCACATTCTACATCAGCGCAAAGAACAAACAAAAAGAAAAAGAAAGAATAAGGCCAAAGAATCAACCCCACTGAACTAAAAGGATTTCAGTATATTGTTGGGGCAACCATACATGGTGTTTACAGTACTGCAGATAGCTGTGCAGCTAAGCATGCCGTTAATTGGACACTCACCCTATTCAGTTGACTCTGACAACTGATTCAACAGTCCCTGGTACCTCAACTTTGACTTCAACTGCTTCCCCATCTGCATCTTCACAGATTGCATGAGCGAATTCTTCTACCTCTTTGATGCGCCGGATATTAGTAGATGCATCAGAGAGCCTCAGTTCATGCCCTGATAGATCATCAGCAGTTGAACTTTGCAGATGCGCTTGGTGCAACTGCAAAGCACTTTCTAGGTGCCACAGGACTTCAACAATTGAAGGCCGGTTCCTCCCCTCATCTGCAAGGCATTTTTCTGCTATCTCGCTGAATTGCTTGATGGACTCCAGTGTGTAATTTCCATCTAATCTAGGGTCAATTATGGTCTCAAGTAAGTTCTGCCTTTTCGACTTCAAAGCCCACTCAGGAAGGTTTATCTGATCCCTTGGCAAGGTCGGATTGATGACCTGTCGAGCGCATAGCACTTCAAACAGGACAACACCAAAAGAGTACACATCTGAACTCTGAGTTAACTGTTGTCTCATAAAGTACTCTGGATCAAGGTAACCAAAACTACCTTTAACAGCAGTACTAACATGGGTGTGATCCAAAGGCGGGCCATCTTTTGAGATACCAAAATCTGCCATCTTTGCGACAAAGTTGTCATCCAGCAAAATATTGGTAGTCTTGACATCCCTGTGAATTACGCCCCTCTCAAGTCCACTGTGAAGGTAGTGAAGCCCCCTTGCCGCACCAATGCAGATTTCAAGCCTCTGCTTCCATGTAAGAGCAGGAAGGTCACTTCCATAGAGGTGGCTTCTCAATGTGCCATTTGCCATGTGCTCATAAACTAAGATCATCTCATTCTGTTCATCACAATAGCCAATCAAGGACACAAGGTGCCGGTGTCGCAGCCTTGAGAGCATCTCGATCTCAGTTTCGAATTCCTTCACACCCTGCTGAGATTGTGCATGCCCCCTCTTGATCGCCACTGGAGTGCCATTTTCAGTTTCACCCTTGTAGACCTTGCCAAAGCCTCCAACTCCAATCACCAAGGACTCATCAAAGTTCATGGTGGCTGTTTTGATTTCCGCAATACTGAACTGCCTACCCATCCTGCAACTACCAGATGTTCCAGTTGTGCGAAGAGTGGGGGAGGAGCGAGCATTAGTAGCCATTGGTGTAGCCGGCAGGTTGTCCTTTGTTTTCATAGCTGAAGTGTTTTTCTTCCGATGCAGATAAAAGCAGAAATAAACAGCACCAGCAACTGAGATGAAAATTACCAAACCCGCAGCAGCACCGATCAGTACCCACTTGGGGCTCCGCTTTGGTTTATCCAAGCCACCACTCATACCCCCAATTCTAATTGTTGGATGGCCAAGATTTCCATTCCGGCTGACCTTAAAGATTTCCATGCCATTCAAAAGTGCATCAGTAGCTGCAGAGCTTGTTGCAGAGGACTCAGAACCCAACTGAACCCAAAGGGTGTCTGTCTCTGACGAGGTAGCATCAATGAAGTCCTCATGAAACGCCTTGTTCTTGCCCCCAGCCTTCGCAAACACATCATAATTCTCTGCAGCAGTCTTGCTGTTGATGTAGATCTTGAACTTGCGCTCCTCCGCCTTCTCATACTCCAGCTCGCAGAAATGCAGCCGGACCAAGTAATCAAAGCCAGGGTCTATACTGAACCTCCAAGACACATTGAACTTCTTATCCACCACATGAGTGTCCTCCGTTACCCTGGCCGTCTCATAGAGCCTCAGTGGCGCAGAAACCGAATCATCACTTGACACATAACTTATGTTGGATGTATTCTTGATACTGCGAGCAGCATTCATAGTGAATATGTAATGCTCATCTGAATCCCACTTCCTCCACAGGCTCGGGTCCTCCTTCCTCTCAATCTTGCCACCTCCCACACACACCCTATACATGGTCTCGATCCCGCTCTCTCCAAGGCTGAAAGGACCCTTCAACCCCACACCGCCCACCTTGTTGACCGAATCGAAGATCGAGTTGCCGGGCACAGGCACGACCTCCATGGCATTGATGAAGGCAAACGACCCAGCATCAGGCACAAACTCGACCTCCAGCTTCGCGGCGGTGACATTGAGCAGGTACTCCTTCACAATGACATCGCTGGTGGAGTTGGTCCTGGTGTTCCTCCAGTAGATTTCCCCGGCGACACTGAACCTGGAGAGCAGCCTCAGGCCATTGGCCGTGACATCGAAGATCGACTCCTTGCCGCTGCTGAGGTTGCTGAACAGTTGGCTGAAATGGAGCCGGAGGAAGTAGCTCCCGGCGGCGACGCTGAACCTGTAGGTAGACGACGCGTTGAAGACGCGAGCAGTCCTGTAGAGGTCCCCGTAGGCATCTCCCCCTCCGTCAGGTTTTGGAGCTTGGGTTGCAATGGCTCCGGGCAATGTGACCGTGATGTCGGTGCCGTCAGGACGGGCGTCCCCCACCCATGTCCTGCCGTCGACATCCGCGCTTGAACCCGAGCCGCAGTTGATGAGAATTGGTTTGTTGGGTTGCGCTCGGACATTCTCCAGGATCAAGAGTAGCACCAGGATCAGCAGCAGATGGGGAAAAGACCTCATCTTTGCCCTGGAGCCGCAATCTTGACCCTAGTAGAATCAACCACCACTTCACCAGAAGCTGCAGGCTGCGAGAGTAATCGAATCAGCATTATCCTATTGGAGGGAAAAGTGATTCAGGAAGAAATGTGAAGCGTTCATTCATCGAGGAGCAGGATCAAGAACATGACTCGGTAGAAGAGGCGGAAATGAAACAAAAAAGAATCCTCCGGATGGAACGGGAAGAGTGAAAAGAAGGCTGGAGAGATTTTGGAGCCTCGGTTCCACTGACCTGACTGAGAGATTCTGGAGACACGCTCTCGATTCGGCGCCGCTAGAAGAAGCAGCAGCGAGAAGAAACCACGGAACCCGCACAAGAAGCGGGCGTGGAGACTTGGGAGCAGAGGATCGTGAACAAATGGCGGTTCGCTTCGCTGGTAAAGTAAGCTTCGGAGTCGTCCGTTCAGACTTGAGGATCCAGACGGACCCGAGGAGGAAGACGAAGAATGCTGGTGGTACTGTACTAATAATAGCGAGCAAATAATTCAGGAGGCAACACCCACAGTGCGGTGGAGCAGGGCAGGACAGGACACCGAGAGGAGATATCCGCACGCAGCGGCGGATCGAGAATTTGGAGATGGCGATTCCGCCGAACCTGATTCGCACATGAGGCGTGGTGTGGTCAGGACGGGATTCTCTATCCAGCCAATGTCTGTGTCGTCGTCATCATCTCGCAACGTCTAGCAGTACTGTTTGGTTGCAGCTGTTGGATTGATGGAGGAAAGGTGTTGTTTGATTAATGAGCTGGATGGATGGAACGCGTGGCTGCGGGGAGCACATGGCGCTGTCTCAGGGGGCCCTGCACTGCACGCGGCGGCGCCGACCGCCGGACGGGAACGGCGCTAGCCGCTAGGGTCCGTTCTGTTTCCATTCCAGAGTTGGATAGAGCAGGTACTCCTTGCTTGGATGAAAAAACAGAATGGTTTTATTTTCTTGTTTGATTAAAGTACTCAATGTGATAAATAAGTGGACAAATTGTTTAGCCACCGTTACATATGGTCCACCCTGTTTAAATATAATCACATTTGCATCGATCCTCATGTGTTAAGATGGATTGATGGGAATTTAGTTCAAGTTCAACTTTAATCCACTTCCAACACACGTGAATTAAGATGAATCTGACGACATTCAAACAATGGTTACATCATCTTGGAGCCTGTTTATACCACTAGACTTAGGAAGCTAGCTTTTAAAATCTACTAGGAGATCCAAACAATGAGTGCGTTTGGCTGGCTGGGCTGAGCCCGGCTGGCCAGCTCATTCACAGAAATACTATTCACGTCCAGACAGAACAGTATTTTCTTCTCACAACAATCAGTCGGAACAGTATTTTTCAGTCCTGCCGAACAGGCCCGATCTTAGCTTTTAACCAGCTTACACAATCTAGAAGGTCTGTAGATTGTACAATCTGGGAAGCTGAACCAACACAGTTTTTTTTGAAGCTTCTAGACGTTCAAAGACAGATTCTACCTATCCCTATTTCTCTGGTTCCCATCTGTTCACAAATCACAACAAAGAGTAAGGGCATTTTAGTAATCTTAATCTGCATTGTAGCCTATCTCAGTTTTGGAACTGTAATCCACACAGCCTACCAATCTACCTTTTATAATCTAGCTTATAGTAATCCAACTTTTAAAAGCTAGCTTTCAGAATCCCAGTGGAATCCAAAGAATGCCTTATATTCTTCCTCCATACATTTGCTTGCAGCTCTGTCAAACCGTCAGCACACTATGTGTCCGCACTGTTGCCCTCATTTTTGCCCACGTCGGTGTCTCCGCCCGTCGGCTACTTCCACCCTACTACGTCGGCACCTCTCTGGCCACCTCCGCCTATGGTCCCGCGCTGCTGCTCTCCCGCCCGCCCATGTCGTCCGCCCCCACTTGCGGCACCACGGTGGTGCTGGAGTCACCTGCAGAGGGAGATGACGCCCATGCCGTCTGATTGGAATGAGCTCGTTTGGCGAATTTTCTGGAACTGGCTTGCTTCGACTCTTGATGAATATTCAAGTGCGGGGAGCAACTCCATCCCTCGTTCCCTCAACCAAACAACTAAACAAGCCACTTCGTATGCTATGCACAAGTATTTTGAAATCGTGTGTACCGAAGACCTGTTTGGATCCCTATAGATAACAACTAACTGCTAATCATTATCTCACTTAGATCCAAATAGGTACAACTAATAGATTAACTAATTGTTAGATGAATCACTAGATAATAACTATCTCACTAGTCGGACCAAAACTAGATAATAGCAGCTAATAGATGGAGAAATAACTATCGCATCAATTAGCTGTGTATCCAAACACCCTCTCTCCCAGCTAATAGGTACTTAGCTAGCCAATTGTTAGCCAACTAATATTAACTATGTGCTATTAACTAACTAACTAACTACTATCACCTAATGGATCTAAACAGGGCTCTATTAGCAGGTACATGGGCCTGCGGGTGAATAATATCCTCAATTTCCTTACACTTTTGCGGAAACCCGCCCTAAGTTTAACTGCGACTGAGATTTTACGCTTGTATCTTCAGGCATCAAGTGGTCCATTCCATCTGCCATCCCCATCGTCGGCAGGCTGAGGCAATTATCGATCAGTCGCGTCGGCAGTGAGTGAGTGATGAATCTGCAGGGGTGCTGCCCCTGAAACTGAAAGATAAAGATGATTCACCAGGGGAGATGCACCTGCACGGCTGCATCTGTACCGTATACACCAGCATTGAGCGCGTACGTACAAAGGAGGTAGCTAGAAATGGTTGCGTGAGAGGCGGAATTCTCGGGGGCAAATACATGCATGTCGAGTGGCTCGTGGAACTGTTTCCGGTGGCAAACAGACAAGCGCGGATCCTGTTTGTGCCTGCCGTACGTAGAGTCGCAGGTGCGGTAGATAGGGGGCATCAGGCATCACCGCCTCTCGCGCCGGACGACACGGAGCCGCGGGAGGTCACCCGGGAAGGGGAAACGACAGCGCGGGAGCCGCGAGCGCGTGCGGCGTCAGGGAGCGCATGTGCATGTGACGACGAGGCGCGGCGGCCAGGCTGCATGCATGGCAGAGCGTCGCGGAGCGGCGGTGCAGCTGGGCGTACGTGGAACTGGAACCGGCAGCGCGGTAGGGGAGGTTAAGCGCTGACGGCTGAGCTGTAGGAGTACTGCGAAAAGTGGGAGACAGCTCCTGCACTGCACCGCCGGAAGGGGCCCGCCCGCATTGGATCAACCTTAGTAGGTGCTGTTTGGATCAGAAATGGTAATGCAAACGCAAACGTAAATAGAATACGGTGGTAACGTTAACAAATCATCGGAAGACCGACTTTGTTTGTTTCACTTGTTGTAACGGTAACGGGCTGGGAAGCAATCAGAGATTGGGAGTGGGAGAGATAGGGATGGACGAGGAAGTAAAGACGGCTCCAGTTCTAAGGCTGAATGTCTCTTTTTCTTTTATTTTCTTTTATAATTTCTTTGCATTAAATATTGTACGCACATATTAAGAGTGAAACTAATTAAGTAAGATGTTGTATATTACAATGATCATACATTCCACAATTAAATTTCATACAAACCATAATAAATTTAAACCAAGTCATTACACACTACATGTCCAAGTACTCCCCAAAGTTCATGCAAACATAGTATGTCACCACTACTACCTAATGAAGTTGACTTTCTCATATTTTCAATTCGGTGAAGTGTAGGTCACCGATGTGGTATCCAAAACTAGTGCACTCTCCCTTGCTTCACAACTACGAGCACAGGGTATACAAACGACGTTTAACGGTGCTCGAGAAGTCGGTGGGTCTCCCCTCTTAGTCGCAAGCAGCTTTGTCTGAAATCCTTCCGTAGTGAGTGTTGGCCATTCATGAGCATATTTCCAATCATAACCCAATTGATACATTGTCTGGTTTAGAATGGCTTTAAAACTACACCCTTTGTAGGTTAAGTCATAGTCCTTAACCTGTAAATGTTGGCAGAAAAGAAAGGTTATGGGAACCAAGCTTTGCAACATATAACAACAAATCCAGATATAAGCTATGAGTTCAACTTCAACTTTACCATATCATTTCGGTTGTTCCGAGCAATGCTTGCACAAAAGCCATGAACACCATGACGTATGTCCGCATTTATAGCTTGTATCAGCAAGGAGGATAGTGTAGGCAAGGTGTACCCAATATTCGCAAGCTTAGTTATGCATGCAATGATAGCATATTTTTGTGCAACAGTCTGAGGTGCCTTTATTCCCATCTCTGAGATTTGTACAACACCTCTACCCATCCTAGCGGCGATGGAAAAGCCAATTCGACATTGGATTAATGGACCATTATCTACTTAAAAGATCTTAACAACCACTTCTTGAAGCCTTAAATCTGAGAGTGTCTCTTTAAGCCAAATGATTGGATCAATTACCAACGGTACATTTAAGAATAACATATATATACATATCAGAAAATATATTTATATAAGCGTATTTGACACATTAATTTATTGGAAACATATAGAGTTGCTTACTATACTTGAATGATTAAACGGTACATCCGACAACACTGGATCGAATCCCATCTACTTTACATAGCCGCTAAAACCTGTGACTTCTGGCGGAGGGAGACGACTACGTCTAGCCATCTCTTCTCACTAAAGTCAATATATCAAAAATCATATCACTGGAGACAATATTTTTCATACACGAAAATGCATATCACTGAAGTCAATTTTTTTCATAAGTCTACAAATATCAAAATTCACATCACTAAACCCTATATATCAAAATTCAAATCACTATATAGTTAATATTTATCATGTACCAAAATGCATAAACACTAAAGTTAATATATCAAAATTCATATACGTATGTCAGTGAAGTCAATTTTTTTTAAAAGTCTATATATATCAAAATTCGCATCAATAAACCTTATATATCAAAATTCATACCAATAAAGTCAATATATCAAAATGCATAACACGTCAATATATCAAAA